ATTTGCTACAGCTATTCGTTTTGATAAAAGCATGCTGCCGAAGTATCAACGCATCCATTTCTTCATTCTCCTGGTTTTTCTACGATGAATAAGGCCATTACTACTGTCTTATCTGTATGCATTATGCTCCTTGCAAATGTACGGAGCAACTTACGTAAGCGGGGATGATTTGGGTTGTAAAGGATTTGTTAGGTATCAAAGATTTCCGTTCGCTCATTTCATTACATCGAAGTTTCGTGATTCCTGGAACAACTAAGCAAAACTTTTGTGACTCAGTTCGGTACTCGCGGACGTACTGCTTTAGTTTTCTTACAGTTTATAGCTGGCTTTACTGTGAAAATAATGCCATCACGTAGAGTGCATCGCATAATTTCGTCTTCAAACGCGATCTTTTTTAACTCCACCTGCTCTTCTTTCATGCAGTTTTCTTTATTATACCGACGATGTAATCGTACATTGTGTACGGCACCTTGTGGAACATCAAATGATGCTCCAGTCATTTTCTCTCCCTGATCCCCCCCTCTCTCAAACTGCTCCAGTCTCGTCACCGTTTGAACCTTCAACGGAGGCGACAGTACAAACATTGCGATAAATGCCCACTCGTTGCGCGTGAGATAACTTTCTTAAACGATGTGCAGTTGTGTCCTATCAGATCCCGCGCTACAGGAATTGTGAATCATCCTGAAAAGCCATAGCCTACGCAGTATCCAATGCAAAATACGCCGATGCAGCCTGGTGGTTCCTAATCATAATAAAAGCCTATGGTCAGTTGCTAATGATCATCATAATCAACGCAACATGGATCACCGCACGATAATGATATGATGCCAGCATGCATATTTCAAACGTACGTCAGACTTTGTTGATTACTGTCTTACGGCTTTTCATTACGGCTCAACAATCATACGGCTTTTATGGGCGTCATATATGCGAGGCATCCACTGTCCACTGACCTTCGTTTTATCCAATTTTTTCGGTGTGTTGAATTACAAATATGTGATCCGGATATCCAACTTTGCTTACAACTTTCCGCTTCGTTACTTGAAACCTTCTGCCCCAGATAAAAGTAGCTCAGCATTCTATGCTTATGTAAATTGAGTTAAGGCATGCTCACTTAAAACATGTCCATGCTGTGGTATTGGATCAGTTCTGACATTTTTCCGGAACAAAAGTAACGGACAGTTCGAAATTACGGTGATGAATCGGTATGAATGTCGTGCACAGCACCTCGACATTGATATTTTTTGCTTTAAGTCGATTTGAACAAATATTTCACGGTAGAATGTTGTGCATGAAATGCCTGTTTAATACACTGATTTGTAAGCCTCCGTTTAATTTCATTGCGGGACCAGCTCATAGTTATTTAATACTAGTCGGAATGAAATGTTCCTCGTTCATGTATTGCGGCATGTGCCGAACAACGTCCAGCCGAAATATCTTGCATGCTGTACCGCAATGCATTTGTTCTACATGGCTTGTCATTTCATCTGCACCCTTTTATTGGTAACGAGTGCGCACCCCCTGTTTTACCGTGTTTGGGTGCGTGTGGGTCCGTTGCGCCAGTGACGATGTCGTTGCCCCATGCGACTCGCACTCTTACGTTAACCCTCCCTTCAACGCACTAGCTCTCCGTAACAATTCGTCGTCTTTCAAATAAGCAGCTGGCTTCCGCTGGCAGGCGGACACAGCCGCCTGCACGGCTGCCGTCCCCGGTTTAGGCGGCGCCCTGTTCTGGAAGCCCCCCGTTTGCTTCCTCCAGCCGTATGCCGTGATGTTCGCCGCACGTGAAGCTCCTCACATCTTTCGGGACGTTTCTTATGGGCGAGGCTGCGCGCGGCAGGAGTTGCATTTCAAGCATTATACAGTTTTAATCTTGAGTGACCCCGCGCCGTAGCGGTCACGACACTAACCTGCGCCCGGCCTGGAGATGTTGACCCTACGGTTTTTCGAGCACAGGTCACAAACGAGCGCTCGCAGCAACACGATATTTCAATACCAGTCCATCTATCAACTTGAGATCCTCTGTGCAAATTTGAGGCTTCGACACACCAAGATCAGTGATATATGTCAGGTCAAAGATCAACCTTGATAAGTCAGGCCAACCTCCAAAAAACTCTGACCGCATCTGACTTTTTGTGGGCAATTTGCCTTCGTCTAAACTTGCTATAGTCAAATAGCATTATAATGCGTACAGGTTGCAGCTTTTATATTTTGGAAACGGGCAAGGTCAGTGACCTAAGGCCAGGCCAATTTGTCTATTCTTCGTAATAAGTGCAAATTTTAGTATGTTGGGTAGTTTTGGTGTTTTTATATGAATAAAATAGTACTAACTCACATGCGCAACCATCATATGATCACAGAGCACATGACCTTGGCCCAGGTCAGACAAAACTCTTTAACTGCCTTCTGCAAAACGCATGTTGAGCTGAAAAGGTAGTTTTATTCGGTAATTTGGACGTTGAATTCCAATCCTCTACTAAAAACATGTTTCAGTAGCATTGTAATGTATAAGGAGGTCACGGCATATCACTTGAGAACATTCAAGTTTATACGTGGTCATCCAAGCTCAATGACTTATGTCATCAGTAGCGAAGAGGCTAGATGAACGAGTGTATACGTGTCACCACCTCCTTATCGCATTTATAAATCTGGTGACATAAAATTTAAGGTGCCAACGTGCTTGCTCTCAGTTTGCTGCAAATGTATTGTTAAGCGTCAAAGTGAGTGCGTATAGTGCATACAAAGCATGCAACCTTGAACACCTGCGGATACAGAACAAAGTATTTCTGACCACAGAAATGCATTGTTTCGGTCATATAGCCCAGGGTAGCACTTTTTGCATTTTAATTTAGATTGTATGATATACGCGGATGATATCCTGATATGCTATCATAACACGCTGTTAAATACATCAATACATTTGTTTGCTATACTTTGATCGCACTCCCCACAACAAAACTAAAAAGACGCGCTTTGCAACGTGGGACGGGTGAGGTAATAACAAAGACAGTCTATGGCTATCACCACGCCAAATTTGCCGAACACGAACACGAAGTGAATGGGGCCGGACGGCTTTTGCAGCCCATGCCCACGGAATTGATCGATGCGTTGAAAGCTTGTCGTTCTTCAGGAACAGAAGAAGGTTTACTGATGTAACATTCGCGTGCTTGTTCACAATTTACATTGCAGTGAAAAATTGACGGCTATGAGACTGGAACGGACAGACCAGACCATTTCTATGAAGCAAGGCGGTGATCTTGCCATCGCGCATTGTTTGGGTACTTGTGGCGGAGCATAGCAAAAACTTCCCTTATTTTGGCTTTTGTTTCGGTAACAATGCACGCGACCTGACATCGGTGTAGCTCCGTGCAGTGTTCTGACCGAATCTCTTCCTATGTTGGCCATAGCATGCGGTTTTGGAGATCATGTTGGAAAAGCTGACGCTGGCCGCAATCCGCCCGATCACTGGCGCACAGAGGTCGGAGAAATTCGAGATCTATCAGTGCGTTGTTTAGCCGGCACATCTGCTAAGAATGGCCCGTTGGTTCTGTGCCTGTACTTGTTAACCCAACGATGCTTCAAAACGCCGTGAAGCGGGCGGATGTACGGCTTGCGCACAAAAGCGCATGGTCGTCTGCCGGCATCGACCTGCACTTGTTGCCAGCGGGACCGTGCCTTTCTCCCCCGTCAGAATCTGGCTCGTGCCACTGCCACGCCGCGCTGTCAAGAGCCGAATGTTTCGCAATTTGAAAACTTCGCTGTCCTCGCCGACTGAATGAGGAGGGAAACCCTATTGCAATATCATGGGAAAGGCCTGCCTAAACTAACTGCTTGCGAGCAAACGTCTTGTGCAAAATCACGTTTAGCGAATTGCCTGTCTCGCGGCTGAAGACTGCATGAGCGTGCAATCAGTAATTGCATCCCGTATGCTGTGCCTCTTGCGTCTTACAACTGAATGGCGATTCAGTGAGTTGCAGCAGTATAAGCCCACCATTAGCGTGACTAGCCGGGTCAGTCCGAGGGGAGCGGCCGCTGAAGCTGGAGCATTGCTGGAAACGCGACGTTGAAACGTGGTCGGCCTGCCGTCCGTTCAGAATCAGTACAAATATGTCGATGTGGTGGAGTCCGATTGCCTGGTCAGGCTGGACCCAGCGGGCAGTTTTCGAGCAACGCTGCTCGTTAATTAGCGCTCGAATACCACTGCGGCAGATTTGCGACAGTTAAACCCTCGTGAAAGGCAGACCTTCCAACGCATTGGTCAATCTCATCACCATTGGCCGCTGAGTGTGTCTGGCCTCTCCAGCTTAGTTTTTGACATAATCTGCATAACGACGGCTGGTGACTGTCACGTCTGCTGTGATCTCGCTCGCCTTAAGCCGCTGAAGGCGTCCTTCTGTAGATTAGAAGTATGCCGCACCGGAGATCGGAATTTCACCACAGAGGGTTTGGGTCCTGTTGATCTGCGTAATGTCACCATGGGTGCATGCAGTGCAGTGTGTTCGGATGGTGGCTTTACTGGGAATAATTCCAAGCGCAACGAACGTGACGATATCATCTCCGCGTGTTACCGCCTCCCACTGGCTTGCCGTCACACCGGCGTCTCGCAGAGCAGGCCAATTGTCCTTTATTTGTGCAGCTGATAATCATTTTACATTTATGATGTGTGCACCTCTACACGAAACATCGCAGCTGCGCTCGTGATCAAAGTACATGATTGGGACATCTGGCGTCACTTACCAGGTCACACTTTTCATCTTGCATCTTGTGTCCACATGTATGCGTCGTGTCTGATGACATATTTAAGCTCATATGGTCTGTTGCTTCGCTCCCTATCGAGTCTCCGGGCTCAAACTGAACGTCTGAACTGAGCTGAAGGTCTCGTTTCACCGATGCGTGTCTCAGCTCAGATGTGAACCTTCGTTTCAGCTGCTATCCCCCCGCTGAGATGTCCCAGGGACATTCAGCAGAGGCGCCAGCTCAGTCACGTCACGTGATTTCAGATGATGTCTCTGAGCTCCGACGTGATGCCGCAGTACCGCCAGGAGGCGCCCAAAACGCCGCCGCACATCCTCCTCCACTACTGTGCCTTCAAAGCCATCTGGGACTGGGTGATCCTCTGCCTCACCTTCTACACCGCCATCATGGTGCCGTACAACGTGGCGTTCAAGAACAAGACGTCTGAGGACGTCAGCCTTCTAGTGGTGGACTCCATAGTGGACGTGATTTTCTTCATAGACATCGTGCTAAACTTCCACACCACGTTCGTGGGACCCGGTGGTGAAGTGGTCAGTGACCCCAAGATCATACGCATGAACTATCTCAAGTCGTGGTTCGTTATAGACCTGCTGTCGTGCCTCCCCTACGATGTGTTCAACGCCTTTGACCACGATGAAGATGTAAGTAACTGCGCCAGCGTCTCCGGCCGCAGCGAAAACGTAAGTACGGCGCCGGGCGCGCAGGGCGGCCGTGGCTTCAGCTGCCCGCACGGCACTGCCTGCCGCTCTGTCTCCGCTCTCTCGCTCTGCCTGCCCGCGCTGCGCTCTCTCCTGCACCGGCGGCGGAGGGACGGCGACGCAGCCGGAGCCGGCCGCCGCCGCTTGCTGTGAGCCGCACGCGTCCTGCATGGGCGCCGGCGCCCCCGGGCGTGGCGCGGTGAACGGGGCTGCGACACGTGGCTGGTGCGGCGTGCACCGGCGCGCCGGCCTGACGGAGCCACGCGGTACTGGCGCTCGCGGCAGGCCGGCCAGCACCAGGTAGTCGCCGAGGCTTGGTCACGAGCCGACACGGCCGTGTTCGGTGTCGTGAGGACCGGCTGCCGTGCGCCAGTGTGAGTGAGATTCACGCCGCCGTCGTGTTCGCATTCACCGTGTTCTTAAGGATGCCGTTCGAGTTGACACACGTATGCGCCTTGATTGACAAAGCTCGTTGCCCTCGGCGCATAATTTCATTGTTGGGAATTGGTGCTGTCCTGTCAATCGGGAAATGGCGTTAAGCAGCGTGTGCGCAAGTTTCATATGCATCGCATCAGGCTGTGTGATGCGGAGCTGTTTTGCATGTATCTCTCCATTAGAGATAAGTTGAAAAGTACTTCGTCATAATGATGCAGCAGTTGGCAGGATACCAAACGGAATTTTGGTACAGGAATGTGTGAATGTGTGCACAGGTGAAAGAATATGTGCCAAGGCTACTTCGTGAATGGCAGTACGTATCCGACGACCCAAAGCATAACAATTGCTAGAAAATTATCGCACAGTCCTAGTTTTCACAGGACTTTCGGCTGCTGCTATTACCATACAGACACAAACCCCGAAGTATATATACCCTATGCGTTGAATTGAATATTGTCCTAAACACCACTCTGTTGGAGTCTCTTTGTCTCTGAAGGATTGCCACCTGCGTCGCAGGTCCAACTGAAAAGCGTAGGCAGATCCGCGCAGCGGCTTTATTGCGGCGAGCTCTCACCGAACTGCCGGGGACCATTTTGAGCTGTCCTCCTCTAGATTTAGTTGGACGGCCTCAGGCCACTGCTGACACCACAGCAAATAGAGCCCGCGGGGGTTTACGAGTGCCTCCGCGGGATGCGGTGCCTTCACGCAGACATAATTAACAAAGTGCCGCAGGGTGAAGAGAGGCGGGACTTTCCGTGTCCCTGTTTCCATTAGTTTCCTTCCAGTGTCATTAGCATGCCTGCTCAGCTCGGTATCATGCCATGAATAGCATTATGGTCACATTAAGTTGGATGCGGCGGCATTAGCCTTATTAGTCGGTCTGTCTCGGCTTGATTTTGGAATGGGTTCATAATGGGTGGTTGGGTACTGGGATTGGGTGGAATGGGTGGGACACATTCACCCTCCGCTGTTGTTAAAATATTCATCACATTTTAACGTACCGTTTTGCGCACCTGGGACCAGAGAAATGTGGCGGCCGGTATTGGGCCCATTTTTCTGCGCTTCAGTAAACACTGTGGCTAATTAAACTAAGCAGCGCAAAAATGAGACTATGATCCGGCGAGGTTTTCTCTAAGCTTTGACACACCCAGTTAACGTTCTCCTTCTTGGGAAAGTTTGTGACAATAACAGGTCTCAAAGTATGTTCGTAGCTAAAGCTCATCAAATTTATACCAATTGTCATCGATTAGTCATATTGCGACCATAAGAGACCTCAAAGCATATCTTGAGCTAAAACTCATCAAATGTTTATCACTTGTCGTCGATTAGTCAATGGTGACATTTGCGTCTCTTTGTGGGGGCGTGTGCACATAGGGGCTCCGGACCGTACGTAACCCCCCCCCCCCCCTTTACCAAATGTATGGCATGCATTAAATAGGCTGGCTTGTGCCTGGTTGTTATCAGCCACAATTTCATATCTAGAATTTGCGACGTTGTTTTAAGAAGGTAAGAGCACGTGCCTGCTGAGGACTCGGTTTTCGGTGGAATTTTGTCAGTTGTGCCCCCCCCCCCCCGCGTACACACCGCAACTGGTAAATTCTACGTGTGTCCCTGTCTCAGTGTAACTACGTAGGATCTTAGCCAGAGACGAATGGGAAGTCGAGAACTGGACCCGCAGTCAGAAGTGAGGAATCGTTGCGGAGTCAATATTCGGGCCCCCAAAGCCGGCTGCCGTCTCTCGACTCACCTGGACTCACCTGGCTCCCGACTCACCTGAGAAATCGTCAAGAATGGACCCGGAGTCGGGTATGTGGTCAGGATCCCGCTTGATTCGGCCAGGAATCGGGAGCAGGAGTCAGGTCTGTGGATAGGAGCCGGGTCTGTTGCCGAATAGTTCCATCAGTCCGGTGGTGACAAGAGAAGAGCTAATGCCCGTGGTCAGGAGCGGGGTCCGTAGTCAGAAAAAGGGGCTGTAGTCGGGAGTCGAGTCCGTAGTCAGGGGCAGGGCAGTCAGGTGTACGGACCATAGTTAGGGGTGGGAGCGACAGTCAGGAGCATATCCTGTGCAGGGGCCGTAGTCAGGGGCCGGGTCGGGGGCCGTGTGTCCGGTGGGACCTGGGGTTTTGCTCTCGCCTTCGCGCCAATTCTGCAGCGCGCGATTGCCCGGCGCCGCGTGGGTTTGGCGCCAGATTGAACTGTGCTGCTGGTGGAATGGAAACTCCCGGGATTGCCCGGGTGGGTACCCTGTGATGGTGGTGCCGGCCCGTCATTGCTTCAGGTGGAGCAGCACACAGCAGCAGCACACACAGCACGGGTGTGCTGTTAGGTGTATTGCCGGATGAATTGCACGCCAGGTCAGCTCAGGTCAGCTCAGGTGACAGCTCGCGTCACTGAAGGATGGTGGAGTGGCCTAGACACCAGGCCCAGGATATCAAATCTTCTGGAAGTGGAGCCGTTTTAAAAGTCGACCATTTGCATGAAGTACCAAAATATGGGTGCCACATGCACAAAAAAGAGCGGAGATTTCAGTAGTGTGGAGGTCAGGCTCCGCGTTTCGGAAACCACAAGAGCGGGGCCCAATACCCTTCGGCGCCTGTTATTCCTGCCAGGGTGAGGAGCAGACGCCACGGTATAGACCCAGCTGCTGAGTGCGTCGGCAGGCCCCGATGGCGCCAACAAAAAGTGACCGTAGAGGCCATGTTCGTCTTGGTCCTTTACCTGCCTTTGTGATACGTGGCGGAAGGGGACTGTAGTCACTCGTCATCGATTCAGAATTAGCATGCTGGTTGAAGCTATCAGCGTAGGTTGTTTAACCACTCCGCCAGCTTTCTGGGCAGGTCTGATAAGGATCGCAGAACCCACTGATTTTGACTGGCGAAAAGAAGATCGGTTTGCCTGGCTTTTTTTCAGTGACGTCGTAGGTCGACTTATCCGTGATTTGCGAAAAGTGGTTTACAGCGTGCGCTGGTTCCCCAAAGCTGAGGCTGATGCGACAGCACGGTGCACCCAGACCATCAAACGGATAAGCGTCGTTCGGATGATGACGGGTGTGGCTGGAACCCGTGCCGCGAAACTGCTGAAACAAAACCGTGGCGTCACGCCTGTTCCGTCGGCGGCCTTCCCAGGGAGTGGCCGCCGCTCGCCGAGCCCTCCCAGGGGGCCACCGCTCGCGCCCTGCCCCAGTCGGCCGGCGGCCGCCATATGCTAGCTGTCTATATATGTGCTATATACTATACATATACTATACATGCTGACCACATCCCCAGTAACCTGAGCCTCGCCGCCGCCGGCCATTGAAGCCCCGTCCAGTGTTCAGTGCACCGCCCGTGCGCTCGCCGTGACCTTGGCCGCGGCCGTGACCGCAGGGTATCGGCAGCCTGTTCAGCGCGTTGAAGGTAGTACGCCTGCTGCGACTGGGCCGCGTGGTGCGCAAGCTGGACCGCTACCTGGAGTACGGTGCCGCAATGCTGATCCTGCTGCTCTGCTTCTACATGCTGGTGGCGCACTGGCTGGCCTGCATCTGGTACAGCATCGGCTTGTCAGACGCCGACAACGGCGTCACATACAGGTGACCGGTGGCGCCGGACCGCGCGGGTGACGGCCGGTGACGCGCCACGTCCGCGTTGACGGCAGGTGACGGCCGGCGGTGACGTGTGCCGACCGTGGGTGACGGGCGTGGCCTGCCGTTGTTGTGACGCTGCGCCGCGCGCTCGCGCCCCACCCTGCGGTCCGGATGTCCACCGAGACAGGGCGCGAGCACGGGAAGGTGGCCGTTATGCTAATGATAATGGGGTGCAATGCATTAGCGTTTAGTCGTGTGCATATGGGTTCGGAGACAGTTTGCGGCAGTGCTGCTGAGTAGGTTGGCTACGCTACGCAGTGTTGTGTTACGAGAGGCTGCTTTAAATGCTCAGACATTGTGGGGTAATTCATAAGACAAAGCCTGCCTTTAAAGGACAGGATACCGTCTTCTCACCATGTGACGGCGGAACTCTGCATCCCGTTTAAATGACTGGTGCTGGATCAGGAAAGGAAAATGCCGGGACCCGACCACCAGGACACCTGGACATCTGTCTGGGACACTGGGACCACCGGGACACCTGGACACCTGTCCGGGACACTGGGACTACCAGGACACCTGGACACCTGTCTGGGACACTGGGACCACCAGGACACCTGGACACCCATCCTGGACACCGGGACCGCCAGGACACCTGGACACCTGTCTGGGACACTGGGACCACCAGGACACCTGGACACCCGTCCTGGACACCGGGACCGCCAGGACACCTGGACACCCGTCCTGGACACCGGGACCACTAGGACGCCTGTCCCCATGGCACAGCAACGCGGCACAATTCGCGTCCTGTCATCACGGCTCTTACTTTTTGTTCCGCGCTGGTGGAGAGGTGCCCTGTACTAGTTCAGTGCGAGTTATTCTTGCTTTTGTTTGCTTCATTGCTGACATGCTCAGCTTCGTGGGTTCTCAGTTTTCATAAGGCCTTGGGTTCTCGTACTCAACATACCGACTTTCCATACGCCTAAAGGCCGACATGCACAGTGAGGCTCTGACCTACAAGCGGGCCCCGCTTGAATAACGGAATGAAGCAATCATGTATATAGCGATTTTGCCAGAATGCTCGACGTTTCCAGACAGCGTGCCCACGGTGTTCGCCACTTACACTAAGTGTTCATCAGTGCTATCGCGTTTGCTCTAGATTATTGTGGATTGTCGGGAAGTACTATGCGCGAGCATTGAGGCTTCAGCTAGATTTCAAGATTTCGCTGGTCAATCACTCTGATATGATGGCAATAGGGGCGCAGCCTAAACCTTGGTAAGGGAGCAGGGGACGCGGTGTTAAAAAAGGGCCTTCCTGCTGGTAAAGGACTACCCCTGAAACAAAAACTCTCTGATATGGGCCACCTAATTTCAAAGGGGGCACGATGCTTTTCGTTTGATTTCAATTTTTTCTTCGTAACTGGAACAGAATCCAGAAGCTACCGAAAGATGCAATTCTGCTTTTATTTTCTGTCTGTGGCCTTTGGTCAAAATAGGAGCCTGCACTGTCCCAGGGATCCCCAATCGGTGCGAACGACCATAGGACTGACATTTCAGGTCTCGACCGCTCGGGCGGGAGTCCTTAATGTGACGTACAGCAAGCCCTTCGGGCCCGCCCATCGCAGGAGGGCATACCATGGACTCGTGGACTCCGAGTCCCCGACCAGTGCAATTCGCGGGGCTGACCTTATCCCTGCTTGGGAAATGGGCCCTCAGTCCAGACCGACACGAAGCTGACTTTTCGGAACTGGCGGTGCCTGACTGACATACGAGCCCGCTCTGACTCAGAACGAAGGGCCTTTTGACTGGCATTTCAGGTCCCGGCCCACAGAGCCAGCCCCCGAATGTGCTCTCCGGCCAGCCCTCCGGGTCCTCAAACCGTACCGTTGATCGCCGGTCAATGTGAATGGTCTTTTCGGGCCCCTCGGGGCGTAAGAAAGTTGGAGGGCGGGGGGGAGGGGCACGACTCCCTGTGCCCCTCCCGCACCTGCGCCGGTGGATTACAGGTGACTTTTCATTTGCATGGCAGACGGTTATAAAAGGTGACGCTTGATGCCCATCCAATGTGTGCGGTGTTTGCCGACGGCGGTGATGAGGCAGGGCGGCGGCCGGTCACCTGGCGCACACCTGGTCCCCGTCCGGCAGTGAGGTGGCCGGTAGCCAGCTCTCCGAACACATCCTCTCCGCCTGACCTGGGCACTCTCCGCCCCGTCCGGCGGTGAGGCGGCCGGTAGCCAGCTCTCCGAACAGGCCCTCTCCGCCTGATCTGGGCCCTCTCCGCCCCGTCCGTCAGTGAGGCGGCCGGTAGCCAGCTCTCCGAACAGGCCCTCTCCGCTTGACCTGGGCTCTCTCCGCCCCGTCCGGCAGTGAGGCGGCCGGTAGCCAGCTCTCCGAACAGGCCCTCTCCGCTTGACCTGGGCTCTCTCCGCCCCGTCCGGCGGTGAGGTGGCCAGTAGCCAGCTCTCCGAACAGGCCCTCTCCGCCTGACCTGGGCCCTCTCCGTCCCGTCCGGCGGTGAGGTGGCCAGTAGCCAGCTCTCCAAACACATCCTCTCCGCCTGACCTGGGCACTTTCCGCCCCGTCCGGCGGTGAGGCGGCCGGTAGCCAGCTCTCCGAACAGGCCCTCTCCGCTTGACCTGGGCCCTCTCCGTCGCGTCCGGCAGTGAGGCGGCCGGTAGCCAGCTCTCCGGACACGCCCTCTCCGCCTGACCTGGGCCCTCTCCGTCGCGTCCGGCAGTGAGGCGGCCGATAGCCAGCTCTCCGAACAGGCCCTCTCCGCCTGACCTGGGCCCTCTCCGCCCCGTCCGGCAGTGAGAGGGCCAGCAGTTAGCTCGTCGAACGCACCCTCTCCGCCTGACAGCGGTTCGCTCTGTCCCGCCCGGCAGCTGGCTCTGGAAGCTGGCCAACATCACCCAGTCGCCGTACTCGTACGTCTGGTCCAACGAGACGATGGCGCCGATTCTGGTGAACGGGCCCTCTCGCAAGACCATGTACGTGACGTCACTCTACTTCACCATGACGTGCATGACCAGCGTGGGATTCGGCAACGTGGCGGCCGAGACAGACAACGAGAAAATCTTCACCATCTGCATGATGATCATTGCTGGTGAGCACGTCTCAGGGTCGCCTGCCATCTCGAGCAAGTACCCGGGCGGGGGTGCAGGGAATCGCCCAGGGCTTTCTGAAGCGGCATGTGTGTGGAGGTCGGATGTCGTTAGCAGCAGTGACGCGGCAACCAGTCTGATGTTTACTGGCCAAAGGGCATCGGCACGAGCGGCAAGTAAAGACGTTCGTGTCTGCATATACTGAATAACTTTTTGCGTCATAGTTTTTGTTCGGGAACGAGTCGCACCTACTGGAGTGTCAGTGAGGACATTGAAGTCGATGAACAAAATTTTGCGCGAAGCTGCCGTCCCTGCGTTATAAAATTCGGCTGTTTATCCTGGATGAACCGGTTTTTAAATGCACAAGCTACAGCGCATCGCAAACGTTCTCCAAGGATGGGCCCCATAGCTCATTGCAGGATCATTGCACCTTATCTTCATGATGTTGGCTTTCGGGGAGGAGGGTCGTTTAGCGCATTTAGGTCCCACACCGACCACTAAACCTGGACAGACTGTTTGTCCGGTGCAGGCGGCTCCCACCGGTCACTTAGCCTGGAAAGAGCTCGTCCGGCAGCCGTCCGCCACACTGGTCACGCTCCTCCATTGATCCCGGGCGGCGAAGGTTGTCTGGCGTTGCGGTGACACACATTGGTCCCCGGAGGAACATGCACACACTGTACGGAGAAGCGCTGCTCTACTTTCCGCTGGTGCCTCATGATTGCACGGTATATTCATTTTCAGAGCCCTAGCTGAGGCAGTGTTCAAAGCGCACGTGGGCTTCTAAAAAATTAATAATGTCTATTCAAAGCGCACGTGGGTTTTTAAAAAAATAAATAATGTCTACTGTTTGTCGAGATCTTTTGGCCTACCTCCCGTAGGTCTCGTCGAACGACTGGTGTAAGACCGGATCTTAACTCCGGGCCTTTCGTTGTGTTAAAAAGCTGTATCCCCAAATGCATGCAAGGATGAGATGCAGTGCACTGTTCATCATCTGAAACAAATGGGCACTCGCTGCGTGCTCACTGCTTCTCGCGTGAACTATGTCTGAGCTTCCATTGGTCGGAGACAGGCTAAGCGAGTCGCATGATATCCACCTTTCAGTTATCTATAAACAGCCGTCGACATAGACGATGTCCCAGCGCGAGTACGCTGTCGGCTCAGCTCCACATTACAACACCACCGGCCACCACCGATGAACCGACCGCTGCTTCCTCCCCCTCCCCCCTTTCCATGCGGGCGGCGGCGGGCGGCGCGTGTCCTCCGCCCGTCTCGCACGCCCGTCACCAGTGCCGGACGGGCGGAGCGCGTGTCAGGCGTGCGTAGCGGTCGAGACGGGCCCGTCGCGGCAGCCTCGGTGATGAATCGACCCCAGTTTACCGGCCCGTTAGCGGTCGTCGGGCGACGGCCGTCGCCTGCGAGCACGGCTCTCGTAAACTGCTCTGGTACCGGCCGAGGTGTCCCCGCGAGCTCCCCAGCGGTTGTCAATGACCTCGCTGGGACTGGGGAAACGCACCGAGGTGTAGACATATCAAGACCTGGTATGGGCCCGTGACAGCGCCGTAGTGACGCAGAAAGTTATCATTATTGGTGAGAGTTTTGAGCCAAGTAGAGACGGGTGTGCTTTAACACTGAACGGGACTATTAACGCCTCCAAAAGTATAAAGCCGTCATCCAACGTATTTGCTCAAAGAGTGAAAGGCGCCTCACATGCTCCGCGATTTGCCAGGCACGTTTGAAGATGGTTGCCTTTTGCAGGACTCCTTTAGAAAGGGATGCGTTGGTGTAACTACTAAATATTACGCATGCCTCAGACTGTTTCAGGCGTCTGAAAAAGGCAAGGACGGTCCTCGCGCAAAAACGCTGATCACAGTGGACATGTGGGTATCGGTAGTGAAGGTGTTCAGCCGCGCGTCTGGAAAACCGGAGGCATGGGTGCTAGGTGCTCATTCCCCGCGGTGCTGGCCCTACTTTCCAGGCGAGAGGCTAGTGAAGCCATGAAGTCCCGACAGCGGAGTACATCGTACATCCCATGTCACACAACCACACGCAAGGGACATGTGAACCACCGTGGTAACGACCTCCCGCACGTCATGGTCTATGCCAATAAGAATAATTAGATTATCAGTGAATATCTTGGGACATCAAATCTAATGTCATTGTCAGACATCTGTCTTGAATAAAAGCAGTCAGCGTTTATTCACGTTAAACTATGGCTTCATTGGCATAGCTCTCTATCTGCACAGAACAGGTATTGTTGCGCTACGTGGGACAGGACGAGAGCAATGTCCGTCATACCTCGCATTTCCAAAGTCTGCATGTATCATACGGCTGAACCCAATGCATAAGAGGCGATCTGCTTTGACACGGTACCGTTTGAGAACAGCGTTGGAGCAGCAGTATTAAAAAGGTGCCGCCACGCAGCGGCTTCACGCATTTGGCGAGAGCGATGTAGGGCAATTCCGGTAGTGTCTAAACAAAGTCAAGGCCCGTGCCACAAAATGTCGCGAGCTGAAAGACGTTGACGTCTTATCGATATCACACAGAAAGACGCCGTGCACTTTTAGCTGCGGTCTCCGTGCTGCTCGGGTCTGGGCGCCAGCTGAACACCGGCATCGGTTTCCCGGTGCTAAGCTTGTGGCCGGCATTCGCTGAGGCGGGCGCAGGCCAATACTTATCGGCCGTGTCAAGGTTCGGACGTCGAGGCATCGGCTAAAGAAGGCCATTGCCATTCGAGCCGCCCTCCACCGCCGCCGGTATGGTTTCAATATCGGCCGCCGCTGCCGTGGCGTCAAACCATTACATTTTAGCGTCACATCCGAGACGGGCGGTGAGGGAGGGGCTGGCTGGGCCTGCGAAGGACGGCGCCACGAGCGCGACGGGCACCGCTGCGTCCGGCGCCCCTGCTGCCGCTTGCACTGCGGACTGTTCATCAGAGCCTTCAGCTCCGTCAGTCCGCGCTTGTGCTCGACCTTGTATCGCGCCGTCTAGTAGTCACAGCGCAGCAAAAACAGCGTAGCGTGCGCACATTTAAGCAGTGAAGGAATTTTGTCGATCGACGCATACCTAAACCAAGCCTTGTGGCCGCCCCCAGCAAAGTGGAGCTGAAGCCGCGCCGAATCTGACGAAAGGCGTAGAGTTGGCGAACGCTGCCGTCGACAGGTGCAGCTGAAACGCCTGCTTCGAGCGCTCCAGGAATAGATAGGATGAGCGCGTAAACGCCACTTCCTCGAACTTCGCCACGCAGCGCCGTATCGCCGATATCCGTCAGCTGAAGGACGGTGTTTCGAATGCAGGCGCGAGGGCGGACTGGTTTTATTCCAACTAACGCAAGCGTGTTACATGTGACGGTTCGAGGCCCAGGAACGCATTGTGTCCATGCAAAGGCTCGCCGAAGTGGAAGATGTGTGCATGGTAAGAACACACACCACGTCTACAAATGATGTAAGGGGTTCGCGAGTGAGTCCACATTGGGAAACAATTATTCTCCTGCTGAGGATGGTCCCTATTCTGGAGCGCTGAACTTCAAAGTTATCCGATAAACCCATGTCATTTTAACTTCATCGCACTAGTCAGCTCACTGCGTCCTTATAGACCATGCGTCAATGCGCTGAGGAAACTCGACTTGAGAGCCTGGCGAATGTGTTCGGTAATGGGTGGCTTCGGGACACCTTCGGAGGAGCGCCATCAGACTGGGTTATTGCCGTGAACTCCCCATAAAGGCGGACAGGATCCTGTCATCGATTTCTGCCGCCTTTCCCAATCGATGGCGTTCTGGTGAAGCCTCTCAGTGGCAGCGGCCGCCCGCGCCGGCTGCACTGCTCACAGCCGACCGCTGACTCCGGCCTCCCGCGGCACGGCGTCCCGCGGCACGGCCTCCCGTGCTCTGCCCTCCAGTACTCCGGACTCCCGTGCTCCGGCCTATCTTGCTCCGGCCTCCCGCGACACGATCTCCCGTGCCCCTGCCTCCCGCGCTCCGGTCTCCCGCGGCACGGCCTTCCATGCTCTGGCCTTCCGCACTCCGGCCTTCAATGCTCCGGCCTCCCATGCTCCGGCCTATCGTGCTCCTGCCTCCCGCGGCACGGCCTTCCATGCTCCGGCCTCCCGCGCCCCGGCCTATCGTGCTCCTGCCTCCCGCGGCACGGCCTTCCATGCTCTGGCCTCCCGCGCCCCGGCCTCCCATACTCCGGCCTCCCGTGCTCCGGCCCTGGTTTGTTACGGCCTGTTCCCGGCTAATCAGGCCCGCTCTAAGGGCGCCTCGGCGCTGGATTGCCCCTGTGTGGCGGCTGACGTTCTGGTCACGCATCACTGGCCGTGGTCTGATCTGGCTTTAACTGGCTGCAGCCGTGGCGAGTCGGGTGACCAAGCACCTCGACTCCGCGCATGTTCGCGTATCGCGAACGTCCTACGGAGCCGCGCATTGCCCCATTTGTGCCTTTGTCTACCGTGCCATTGTTCCTTACATGCATTGACTGTGCGGAGATCACGCTGTGTTGACCGGATCTCTGCCCGGCAGCGCTCCTGTACGCTACCATCTTCGGCCACGTGACCACCATCATCCAGCAGATGACGTCAGCCACGGCCAAGTATCATGATATGCTCAACAACGTGCGCGAGTTTATGAAGCTGCACGAGGTACCGAAGGCGCTCTCGGAGCGGGTCATGGACTATGTGGTCAGCACGTGGGCCATGACCAAGGGCATTGACACGGACAAGGTAGAGAACGAGGCGAGTGTATGATCCAGTTCCAGCTCCGGCACCAGGGTAACGCTATCCGATCCGCGGGAATACCGATGTCTGTGGCAGACCTCCGCTCTCCCTCCCCGGTCAGGCCGTCGGCCGCAGCGCTGAGTGCCACCGCCGGCCAAACGTGCTGGCTCACTACCACGGGCGTATTCATCTGGCGTGGCTTCAATGGTCAAAAGGGTCAACCGAGGGGATCAAAAGAGTTCTTGGAAACGAATGTTCGAATTCAATTTTTAACAAGGAAAACGTCTGGAATGTTACCACGTTTGCCTTTTGTCTTCAGACGTAACGCTCCCAACGTTTCCCTGGATGCGCGACGTTTCGGCGCTTCGCCAAGGCGTTTCGCTGGCCAAGTGATGTGGGTGGGGCGAGCCGGCCGCCCAGCTGTGCCAGTCACCATACCGCGCCCGTCTTGTGGCCCACTCAGCTGCTGTAGTCGCCCGGCTCCGGCGCGTGCAGCGGCGTACCTGGCGCGGCGCGCCGCACGCCGTCTCGAACTTTCCGCAGCCCTGGCCCGCCTCGTAGGCGACGAGAGTCACGGCCAACTTTGGCGACAGCCGTAAGAAGTTGGCGCTGTTGGACTACGGCTCGTTACGAACGCTCGAGACGGGGGCGGCCGCCGGCGCCCCAGCTATTGCATGCCCCGCAACCAATGCCTCGTACCTCAGAGGCAGGTCAAGTCCTCTGTATTGCTCTGCAATGGGCTGGACACGACGTGTTACTGTAGCTTACGATTGACATCTAGTCTGAATTTGCGTTCCGCCAAACGGAACGCATCGGTATTCCCGCGGGATTCGGAGGAAATTCTGTCATAAAGTTTATATTTCGATTGCAGTATTGCCACCGGTTTCGCAACCTTTCTCACATGGCTTGCGCTATGACATGTGTTCTGGTATTCCTCAGCTTGCGCGCACCTGCCCCTTTTGTTTCAAGCAGTGGCCTTCGGGCGGGCTCTGCCGACAGCCTGCAGTTGGTAAACGCCTTTGATGCGTCTTTGGCGATCTTGCGGCCAGCGTACTAGACACCACGGATGGGATCCCTCTCCTCCCTCAATGCCTTCATCGCATTGCCGTACTATTCCTGTAACCAGTAATCATTTTGGGACACGCTTGTCGTTAGTCATCTTACTCTGCCCGGAAATAATCTCACCGTTTTCGCTCCGATACACATTCTTCCTCTCTCAACACCACCTTTCTACAATGTTTCTTGCCTGCTTCGCTCTGGAATTCTCCCCACGCAGCTATCTCCACGCGGTTGCAATCCCACATTGCTACCCATCTCACGCGAACATGTAACGTTTCTTTGACGAGTCTTTCTGAGCCGCTTGGAGCGCTACCCGAGCAGATCCTGGTGCTTTAACATGGAACGATCTATGCACTTGGTGTACATGCCATGGGTGTTCGGTGTCTATTCGTTGATCTGTTCAGGTTGAGAGCCGTATGACTAACTTTGCTGTAGGCGATGCACTCTATTTGTCCGCTGCAGTCAGTGCTACACAGCAGCTTGTTAACGTAGCTCGAGTCGGCCCAAATCCGCTGCGACAAAACCATGCAGGTTTCGCTGCAAGCGCTCGTGGCAGGCGACGTATGCACCAGCTGTCTCGTCCATTAATAACAAATAGCTTCTATACAGTATTGTCAAACGCACTGAATAGCTCATCGCGGGTGCCACGCGACATTATTTCGACGCCGGCTTACACACTCCAAACTGTGTTCACGCCCAGCCGCGGAATTGTGCTTAGCTAATGACACAGCGGCATCGCACAGCGTCGCGCTGCTCCCCATCTTGCCAACACTAGTGACCCTGCACAGAGGTAGGCACAGCCTGCGATGACGCTCAGGCCCGAAAGGATACCGCCAGATCCCAGGAGTCCTACATGGCGTCATGCGAGGACCGCTGTGCAAGGGCTTCGGTCCCGGCCCACGAGAAGCGTTACAACTTCACCTGCATGCAGTTCGGGTCGTTATTCTCGGTTCATGCGCACTGGCACGCTCCCCGTGTGGGCATGTTGGATGTTGAACATCTGGTTGTAACGACACAAATAATGCGGCGCTCGTCTCTATCGACTCACAATGCGTTCGAGCTTGGCTCATCACGGTTCAAGCTTTGTGAGTTGAATCCCCTTTTATGTCCGGAATTGCATTAAGAGCGTTTTGCATTAGTGGCATTGGGGTAAACGTAAATGTTATCATACTCATCACCTTTGCCTGCTTTGAAAGTACCATCCAGGCAGTGGCATTTCAATTCAAACACGTTTTGAAAGGTTTTCTGATTACCGCTGTCATAATTGCGCAGGGCTTTGTTTCGCGTCGTGCAAGGCTAAGGCACGTGCACCCTGCCCGCAGTACCTGTGACGCAGGGAAGATGCGGTACCGTTTGACACGTACTGCAGGGTCATTGGGGCTTAAAGACGCACTCAGCGGCTATTGGCGTACATGACGTCGCCAGCCTCTCATCCGGGCAGGAGGGCCGGCGACGCAGGAAGTCCATCTCCATATCGCTGGTTTGCTAGACGCACGGTGAAACCAGTGCACTTCTGGAAACACTCATACTACTCATTTTTAAGAGATTGATCTCACTTTAGATCAACTTCGGCCCTGAACAAGCCTGGTTACTCAAACCGAAATGTATTTACGCTGTGGAAGGTAAAATACTGCATCTAATCCGTCCTCAAAGAGTGGGTACCCCGCAATAAAAACCTCTTTGCTGTATTTGCCTCCAGGGCTGGGCCGAATCATTCCGTAGCAAACACAACGTGTGTCATGCAACCACACTGTGCACGGAAGTCGTCTTAAGCTTTTGTTTAACCAAACTAAGTGGGAGTGCCGGTAGTGCAGTGGTTAACGCGTCTGCGTTAACCACTACGCGTCTGGGAAACCAGAGGTACGGGGTTCGATTCCCCGCGTGCCCGCCCTTCCTGCCATGGTGAGAGGCAGGCGACGCCACATAGCCTCAGCAGCTGAGTGCGTCGTAAAGCCCCAATGACACACACCAAACGAAGTAATCAGCTGTGGTGTTTGGTTACCAGAGCTAGATTGACTTCGACCGAGTAAATCTTACGTGGATCGTTTGCAGTGACGCAATATTTGTTGAGACATCCAGTTGTTCGCTCCGCAAATATTGCATGGGTGGCAGCGTTATTAGCGCGGTAGCGTGCATGATTGTGCATGCAGCACGTGTGTGCCTGACACTGACTCAGTGTAGCGTCAAGCTTGACGTGGCGTTGGCGGCGAGACAGTTGATGCTGTTTTGCTGTGCCGTCACATGGTGGTGGCTCGCCGCATCACTGAGGTCGGTGATTTTGAAAATCTCTGCGAGTTAATACTGACTTACGGTCGTCAAAAACTCACTCGTGGCAACAGCTCATGCCGCACGCCCCGACGAGCGACGAGCGAGTCAGTGGTGAGTCAGATGGCGAGTGACTCACTCTGTCGCTAGTCGGCGTCATCACGAGCGCCTCAGCCTGCCGCCGGGGAGGGCTCGGCCTCGATCGTGGCCCTGTGCCGTTGCCGCGTAACGAGCCGTTCGTGACTGCGATTGCTGACCGAGTGCCGTCTGGGCCGCCGTCGGTCGTCACTGGCCGCCCGGTCAGCTGTCTGGTGGCCCTGCTGGCGCCACCGGCACGGGCCCCTCCGGCCCGCTCGGGACCGAACGGCTCCAACGTAATCACCACCGCCGCTGATTGGCCGCCGCCCGACCTCCGCCGGCCGTCACGTGACCCTCTGCTGATGTCACCAGGTGCTCAACTACTGCCCGAAGGACATGCGGGCCGACATTTGCGTGCATCTGAACCGCAAGGTCTTCAACGAGCACCCTGCGTTCCGGCTGGCGTCGGACGGCTGCCTGCGCGCGCTGGCCGTGCACTTCAACATGTCGCACAGCGCGCCCGGCGACATGCTCTTCCACACCGGCGAGAGCATCGACACGCTCTGCTACATCGTGTCTGGCTCGCTCGAGGTCATCCAGGACGACGAGGTGGTCGCCATTCTCGGTGGGTGGCGCCGGTCCTCCCGCTCCTGTCCCCTCTCCCTCGCACGCACTAAGGGAACGCCTTACTGGTGCGGTGGGTGTGCGCAGAGATGTTGTGCAAGAGGGTTCGCATGGGATGACGGAGTTTACAAGACTGTGTGAGAGTTGTGCTGGTAGATGTGATTATCTTTGCTTAATTTGTGTTGATTCAGATGTAACCGCTGCCACGTTGTGCTCTTGTGAAGATCATCAGATATCAGCAGACCCGAGTGTGAGCGAAAGGCATCCGTGCCCGCATTTTCTGCGCTCAGCTCATCTTCAGCGTGTGCTAAAGCGGAGCTCAGGCGTGGCCGGCGGGCACCCGCTGCGAGATGTCGTGCCCCTGGAGAGCAGCCTAGAGAAAACAGTGCAGCGAACCGGTCCATTGGTATGCAGCCGCAGGCGCCCGAGCTGCTTCGTAAGCCGCGAATGAGGTGCGGACATCCATTTTGGCGAGTTCTCCGTTGTCATGATACCGTCGCGGCCCGACGCAGGTCTCATTCCTCGGGTGAGCCAGTCGCTGAGTCCTTGGGCCCGATTCCGGGTTTGATTCCCGGTGTCTGGCGTCGCACTTCAAGGCTGATTTTGCATTTCATAGACGTGGCATTAGCGAGTGGAATAGAATACATCAGCGCACAGTAAAATTTCAGCAGCAGCCGGCGCTATGGCAGTGCGGGGGAGAAGCTTGCAAGCCTCACGTGTTGTGCGACAGGTGGATCCCTTACTCACTCTGGACTGAGTCTGGTTATGACGGTGTATCTCTGGTTACCAGACTTCATAGTCCGCATCAGATTAGAGCTTTCATTTGGGCGTGATTCTGGGTCTGACTCTGGGTCTGAATCCATGCTTTAACATTGGTGGGTGTGGGGCGCCAGCCGGATAGACATGTGAAGTGAACCGCGTTTCTCTGATAAGAGTCCAACAAACCGGGGCTCGACCTGAGTCCGGTCTGACACGGGCCCCGTCTGGCCACTGGGAGGCCTGCGCCGATGTGCCCCGTCGCGGTACGTGTTGAAGCCACACAGCTTGACGTCCGCGCGGAACCCAGCCTCGCCAGCGACTGTGGCGAGGCCGCGGACGGACGGGCGAGCTCGGCGCTCGTCCATCCGCGCGGGACCCAGCCTCGCCAGCGACTGTGGCGAGGCCGCGGACGGACGGGCGAGCTCGGCGCTCGTCCATCCGCGCGGGACCCAGCCTCGCCAGCGACTGTGACGAGGGCCGCGGACGGACGGGCGAGCTCGGCGCTCGTCCATCCGCGCGGGACCCAGCCTCGCCAGCGACTGTGGCGAGGCCGCGGACGGACGGGCGAGCTCGGCGCTCGTCCATCCGCGCGGGACCCAGCCTCGCCAGCGACTGTGGCGAGGCCGCGGACGGACGGGCGAGCTCGGCGCTCGTCCATCCACGCGGAACCCAGTCTCGCTAGCGACTGTGACGAGGCCGTGAACGAGCAGGCGAACTCGGCGCTCATCCTACCGCGAACGGGTGGGCAAGCTAAGCGCTCGTCCTGCCGCGGACGGGCGGGCGAGCCTGGTGCTCGTCCTGCTGCAGGCGCGTGGCCAGCTCCGGTTATGGTGGCCGGGCGAGATAGCGCCCCGACACCCTGTAGTGGGCCGGAACTCGGGCGGACCTGACCTAGGGCAAACCCGGCCTCGGGCAGACCCGGCCCCGGACGAACCCGGCCTCGGACAGACCTGACCTCGGGCAGATACGGCCTTGGACAGATCCGGCCTCAGACAGACCCGGCCTCGGACGGACCCGGCCTCGGGCAGAGCCGGCCTCGGGCAGACACGGTCTCGGACGGACCCGGCCTCGGACAGACCCGACCTCGGGCAGATATGGCCTGGGACAGACCCGGTCTCAGACAGACCCGGCCTCGGGCGAACCAGGCCTCGGGCAGACACGGCCTCAGGCAGACCAGGCCTCGGGCAGACCGGGCCTCGGGCAAACCCACCGGACTTCGGACGTCGGCCGCCCTGAGACGTCACCACCGCCGGGTGGACGGCGGTCAGATATGGCGATCGACGCAGCTACGGGTAGAGCCTTTGCCTGTAGACCTTGCGACTCCTCCATCCTGGACCGCATCTTTGGCCATCTGGAATCTGGCTCCTGCGCAACACCCCCCATCGCCGGACACACGCAACCGCTTTACGTTCCCGGCTCACTCACGGGCGGCAATCCATGCCTTCAGTTATTGTATTTTGCGGCGTTCATTTGGGCAGTGGCGAGCTTCCGCGCTGTTTCATTTTGCCGGGGCGGTCGGGTCCGGACGAAGGCGAGCGGGTTTCTGCGGCGTGGAGTCGTCGACCAGCGTCACACCCTCGACGTCATCTGCATTTTATTGCACGCGCGATCTGTCCGGAGCGACAAGGCCCGGCCGAGTCAGCCGATACCTCGGCTTACCTCAGCAGACCGTCACCAGTCATGGCGGTGGCGACTGGGGCTTCCGGCAGCGGCCGAGCAGGCGGCCCGACAGGCGGTGGCGCTGGGCCACAGTGCTGTGCGGCGCTCGATCCTGCGTCTCTCTCTCTCTCTCTCCGAGCGTGCCACCATCATCCCGGATGTTTTTTTTCGGAACCTTTCATCCGCCGGTTCTGATGACTGGTTCGAAGCATTCCTCCACGGAGGCGTCTCGTCCGGAGCGCCCCTCCGCCGGGCCGGATCTCTTTCGTCCGGAGCGCTTCTCCGCCGGTTCGGATCTCTTTCGTCCGGAGCGCTACTCCATCGGTTCGGACCTCTTTCGTCCAAAGCATTCCTCCGCCGGTTTGGATCTCTTTCGTCCGGAGCATTCCTCCATGGGTTCGGATCTCTTTCGCCCGGAGCATTCCCCATGGGTTCGGATCTCTTTCGTCCGGAGCGCTCCTCCACCGGTTCGGGTCTCTTTCGTAAGAAGCATTCCTCCATGGGTTCGGATCTCTTCCGCCCGGAGCGCTCCTCCGCTGGTTCGGATCTCTTTCGTCCGGAGCGCTCCTCCGCCGGTTCGGATCTCTTTCGTCCGGAGTGCTCCTCCACCGATGCGGATCCCTTTCGTCCGGAGCGTTCCTCCACGGATCCCGTTCCGTCGGCAGCGTTTCTCCACCCCTGCGGATCCGTCGGCCGGCGGCTTTGGTCGGTGGCGCGGCCGCGGCCTGGCGTGGTCGATAATAGCTGGCGCTCCACTCTCCGTTCACGGGTGCCGGCGGGGCGGCGAAACTGGCGCCGGCGCCGCCTGGTGCCTTGCCATGACCGGGTGCCGCCTCGCATGCGGACGCCCCGGGCGGACGCCGCAGCCCGCGCGGAGGCGGACCGGGGCCTCGTCACGCCACCGGCTGTATAACGGCGGGGACCGGTGGGCGGGCCCGGCGGCGCCGGCGGCTGTCAAAGCCTCAAGTCACGTGATGGGGGCACGGGGAGTTGAGTTATGTGCCCCGATCGTGGGAACTGGGTTCAGTCATGTCTGGGTAAAGTCAGAACTGGGTTCAGTCATGCCGGCTGTGCGTCACGGTCGAGCCCCCCGGTGCGTCTTTGCCATCTTTGCAGGCGATGTTATCGTCGGTGTTTGATGACGGTGATTGAGAGCGATGTGCAATTTTCCGATGGCATTCGAGTACTTGCCACTGACAATAAACGGATTTTGGATTTGGAACAGCTTGTCTCACAGATTCTAGACTCCGTGATCAGAGGTGTTATAATAACACCATAAAACCCATGTGAAATATAAATCATGTTGTGAGGTACATATAGAGCCCCCAGAAACATGTATCACCTGCGGCGCAAACTTTTTGCATACCTCTGGTCTTCATCCGGCCGTTTTTGGTCCAACATCTGGCTGTCGTCTCCAAATGAAACGTTTATTCGTTGTGCACCCTGATTAAATGTTTGTAAATGTAAAACCAGGCACGACGCGATCATTCTAGTTGCCTGCTCTACTGTGGTTAAGCCTCAGGTTTTTTTTCTGTAAAAACGGGTGCCCTGTTTGCTCCTCTAGCTCAGAGTCCTGGTCCTTTTCCTCTTCCAGGAAATGCCGGTCTCGGAAGTTCCAAACACTACGTGCTGAACTTTTCGTTGTGTCCACAGTGGCGACCTTGAGTGTGGATTTGCCTTCGCCACCTAAATAATTCCCGATGTTTCCAGCCTGACTTTCACGGCGCCCAACTTGACCCAAATTGGCGAGTTGTTTGTTTGCCCGTTAAGGTATTGATCGTGCAGTCACAGCACAGGTGGGCGCCGCCTGAGAGGGAGATGCAGGGAGGCTGGTAGCGACTCCACGCCGCGCAAGGGGGGGGGGGGATAAAGGGAAGGAAGCAAGGAAGTGAGGAAGGGGAGGAAGGGAGGAAGGCAGGAAGGCAGAAAAGGAGGAAGATAGGTAGGGAGAAAGGGAGGAAGGGAGGAAAAGAGGAAGGGAGGAAAGGAGGAAGGGAGGAAAGGAGGACAAAAAGCAGGGAGAGAGAGAGAGAGAGAAGAGAGAGAGAGAGAGAGGAGAGAGAGAGAGAGAGAGGAGAGAGAGGAGAGAGAGGAGAGGGAGAGGGAGAGAGAGAGAGGGGGGGGGGGGGGCAGAGAGGGAGAGAGGTAAGAAGGACCGGGAGGAGCTGAGAGAGGGAGGAACAAAGAAAACGGGGGAGAGAGGGGAAAGAGATGGAAGGAGGGGAAGGGGATGCTGATGGGAGTCACTGGTAGCAGGTGTTCTCAGCTTACAGCTATCCGGGCGTCACCGCCCGGTGAAGGCAAACAACAGACCGGCTGACTGACGTCGGGCATGTCAGGCGCTGTTGAACACGCCTACGCTCCGTTTATTATCATAACCTTCTCTGGGCTTCTTCCGGAGGGGCAAAATAACAAAAAGATCCACCAGCGCACCAAGCGATGCGACTGCCAGGCGTGCGCGTGCGCTGTATGTGATCAACTGACGCCTCGTCCATCTTCAGGCACATGCAGTTGATCGGGTCGGGAGAGTATAGCTAGCTCGCTTCACTGAACGATGTTGACAATATTCTGCTTGTACAAGGTGTGTCTAGCTGGCTGTCTTGTTGCACGGGATGCGCGCAAAATTTCGCTTTGTAGAAAGATGTTTATGAAACACCCATGAGTAGAAATGTAAGCAGAAATGTTTCGGAGTGTCAGAGGGAGCTGAAGACGGCCCAAATTCGTCATGTTCGGGGCTCCTGGGCCTCCTGGTGGTAGTGGTGACACATAGAGCTTAGACGGCGCGCGCAGTAGGCTTGGTAAGGTGAAAAGACCGTAAAGGATCTCGAGTCATTGTAATTCGATTGTAATAAAGAATTTATCTGAACTAGTTACCGCGTGTTGCAAAATAGCTGCAACGGAAATCTCCTAAGGGGTTTTAAAAAGAAAGACCAGTTTTCACGAACCCAAGAGGTTTCTATTTTGATAGTCACAATTTTTAACCATCGACTTTCTTCTCTCCGCCCCAAATTACGGTCTCCATTCCTTCGAAGACGGCAAAGGCTCCCCACTCATTGACTTGTCTATTAATAGATAGGTCAATGTCGCGGATGCATGCACTGTACAGCCTCGAAACGCATAAATTTGTCTCGCATCGTGGCATCTGTCCAGGACAGTGTTGATGCCTACCACTTGTTGTCTGATGGATCACTGATCATGATGGGATGCAGTGTGTGTTTCTTATCGCGGCGCTTGGAGGCTTGGAGACGGCCCTGCTGCTCACGGCGCTGGGAGACCGGGAGACAACCCTGCTGATCACGGCGCTGGGAGGCTGGGAGACGGCCCTGCTGACCACAGCGCTGGGAGGCTGAGAGACGGCCCTGCTGACCACGGCTTTGGGAGACTGCGAGACAGCCCTGCTGATCAGGGCTTTGAAAGACTTGGAGATAATCCTGCTGATCACGGCTTTGGAAGACTTGGAGATAACCATACTGATCACGGCTTTGGAAGACCTGGAGATAGCCCTGCTGATCACGGCTTTGAAAGACTTGTAGACAGCCCTGCTGATCACGGCTTTGAAAGACTTGAAGATAACCCTACTGATCAGAGCTTTGAAAGACTTGGAGATAACCCTGCTGATCACAGCTTTGGAAGACTTGGAGAAAACCCTGCTGATCACGGCCTTGGAAGACCCGGAGATAACCCTGCTGATCACGGCTTTGGAAGACCTGGAGATAACCCTGCTGATCACGGCGCTGAGAGGCATAAAGCGTCACAGGCCCTTGCAGACCCCGCCCCAATACGTCGACTGGCATTGCTGCGATTCTCTGTCTACTCGCGAGTCGCACCGGCCGTCAGTGATGCTTCTGTGACGTCACGTCTCCTACAGCCGTGTCTAGGGGAGCCGGAAGCTGGCCGGGGCGGGTCGGCCCGTGCCGTCGCCGGTGTCGGGACCGCCCTCGGCGCTCACCACCGGCCACGGGCGGGCCGCCGCCGCCGGCTGGCGCATGAGACGGGGGCCGTCCTCAGGCCACGTGACACTCGTCTCGTCAGCCGACTGGGAGAAATATGATACGGAGGCTAGGCTGTTGTCCGACCGCCGTGGACTGAAATGTAGTCGGTGAAGAATGGCTCAACTTAGCCCATTTCTTCATGGGAATGGTGTGGATTAGTACTAAATGTTACCTCGCAGATTGCAGACAGCTGCATGCACAGTTGCACATGAATATGCCGCTAAAAATCGGTTTGTTTGGTGTCTCAAAGTTCCTTATCGGGTTGAGGGCCCGAGTGCAGCTCTGTGTGTCGACACAGAACACAGCAGGAAATTGACGTGGTAGACGGAAAAAATTGCAGGCATTGCGGGCCGTGGCGGAACCAATAACTCGCGAACAGTAGCAAAACGAGACACCCTGTGAACGAATTGCAGGGATGCGTTTTCATGCACAGTTCGACTTCGGAAAACGAGGCATTTCGTTTTGTGTGATGTGCTGATGTGCTGATGTTGTCGCTGTTCTGTTGTGCTGTTGCCGTGTGGTATGCGGCTGCCGCATTGTCATGAGGATGCCTCATATTGATGGGCTCACGTAACTCTTTGGCGAGGCCTGACCGGCACGAGACCGGCATTCTAGCCCTTCCGTCCTGACGTCAAGCCAAAGATCGTAAACACCGTCCCATGCAGTGCCCAGATCGGGACGTTCTCTGCCCCCCTCCCCCTCCCCATGTCGTCGGGCCGGCGGGCCACACACCTGCACACCTTCCGACTCGGTCGTCCAGGGCACCCTCTCACCCCTCTCTGTCGTCTCCAGGTCAGGGGGACGTCTTTGGCGATACGTTCTGGAAGGACCCGAGCGTGGGTCAGGCGGCGGCCAACGTGCGCGCGCTCACCTACTGCGACCTGCACACCATCAAGCGGGACAAGCTGCTGGAGGTGCTCGACTTCTACCACGCCTTCGCCAACTCCTTCGCCAGGAATCTGGTGCTCACCTACAACCTCCGACACCGAGTAAGATGCTTTATACTTTAAGCTACTTTCGGCATCGAATTGGCGCATGGCGCAGGCAACCGGGTATGGTGAAGCATGTGGTGTTAAGTTATCCGACATCGCGTCAGCTGCAGGCGAACACCCATTTCAACGGTGACCGCCGTAAAACCGAGGACCGACGAAGGCCGGGGCGTGACAGCCTGCCCTCAACCGATCGCGAATGCAAGGATGCTGTTGGCATTTACGGCATACGAAGCATGCATGGTGCAGAGTTAGGCGTGTGACGCGATGATAACGTGACATGAATGTGCCGCTAAACGCCGATTGTTCGCGGTAGGAGTACGTCATCAAATCCGCTGGATCAGGCGAGATAAACCGAATACCGAGCACCTCACAGCCACGGCGTGAACTGACAACCGATGCATTTCCATTCTGCCTGTATGCGTGGCATTTATTTTCACGAGGACCATTTACCTTGCGTCTATATCCGTTTGCGGTACAGTCGGCCCCTCTCAGGGGTCCTACGCTGAGATAGCTACGCAAAAAGCTTAAATTTCCTCCTGATTGTTGAAACGTCTCGTTTTATCATTCGCAGCCTTTTACGCTGTGATATTTCAGCACCGCTTTGTCTCCTGACTTGACATGAGATGCACATACTGCGTAGTTCTCTTACGGAGCGGCATGGCTATTATCATGTTATAGCGCAATGTGCTATGTCGCATCACACAAATTACACGTTTAAACCTTGTTTGCATTAGTTGTGCTTGGCAAGGAAAACTGAAGGATTGTTCTGCATAACGTTGTTAAGAAAGAAAAAGAAAGAATAAAATAAGAAAGAAAGAAACCAAAAGAAAAATAAGAAGGAAAAAAATAAGAAATAAATTTCATAGCTTGTTGGATAGGACTTGTCCTTTCTCCTTATTCGCTGATGTCCTCGCTTTGCAAATACATAGCAGGTAGATTCCGAGAAACGCGTCAACAATGCACACCCAAAGCTTCCGGCTAAGGGAGGGCAAAACTGGAGAAATCAGGTGAAACGCTATCGCCTAGAATCAGGTCAAAATAACGACCTAGGCTGAGCGACTGCAGAATTGTGAGTGATAACCTCTTAAGTCCGCCGTTCAGTAACCTTTATTGACATTACCGCACTTTGAATAAGGGATTAACAGCTAATGGGTACTGTTTTATTCAGAGTAATACAACAGCCAAAGTTGTAAAAGTCGGTAACGAACCAGATGCCTTAGATACGTTCTGAAGCCACGAAAAGTGTGTTGACATGTCTTGCCAGCGTATAATCCTGACAAGTGATGCGTGACTCATGTTAAAATGAAAAGCCCCATTTCGTTCTCGTTTGTGTTATTCACCACCTCGTCCTGTACGTTTGAGTCCCATGCCACTGCATGCCTCTCCACACCTGCGCCTGACAGCAGTCACCAGACGGGGCGGCCTTCCCCGCCTGCTGCAGGGGTGGAGAAGGGACTGTCCCGCCTGCTGCAGGGGCGGAAAAGGGACTTCCCCACCTACTGCAGGGGTGAAGAAAGACCTGCCTCGCCTACTGCAGGGGTGGAAAGGAGCTGTCCCACCAGCTGCAGGGGTGAAGAAATGCCTGCCTCGCCTACTGCAGGGGTGGAGAAGAGACTGCCCCGCCTCCTGCCAGGGTGGAGAGGGGGCTGCCTCGCCTACTGCAGGGGTGGAGAAGGGACTGCCCCGCCTCCTGCAGGGGTGTAGAGGGGACTTCCCCGCCTGCTGCAGGGGTGTAGAGGGGACTGCCTCGCCTACTGCAGGGGTGAAGAATAGACTGCCCCACCAGCTGCAGGGGTGAAGAAAGGCCTGTCTCGCCTACTGCAGGGGTGAAGAAGGGACAGCCCTACCTGCTGCAGGGGTGATAAAGCGTCTGCCCCACCTACTGCAGGGGGGAAGTAAGGAGTGCCTCGCCTCCTGCAGGGGTGGAGAGAGGACTGCCCCGCCTATTGCAGGGATGAAGAGGCGTCCCGTGCCTGAAACACCGCAGTCTCCGGTTAATGCAGGACAGCCGCGGCATTACCCCATGAATATCTCTCTCCTTAATACTACATCTCTGCGCATAAGCAAAGGAGCTATAACCTGTCCAAACCAAAACCAAAACCAAATCCACTTTCGCCGTGTCAAGCGTCTTTCTCCTGGCCAAAGTGTCCTGCCAGTTCGATGCCTTTAGCGTGACTTGAGTCCTTTTCAGCGCGATGCTATCTACAAATGGGCCGGGGATCGATAACCCCCCGCGGCAATAAGTGCCCAGATGGTCTCCGACGGCTAGCAACGCAAAGGAAAGGCGGCTTCACCCGGATGTGGCGCCTTTACCCCAGTAGAACCGCTGCAATCTCGAACAGCGTGCTGCTGGGTCTTCGTACAGAAGCACCGTCGGCTTACACGTCCGCCAATCTCAATGTTAAGCACCGTCCCACCGCTGTCGCGCGCCGACCTCTCCTGACGGCTTCATTAGAGCGCTGGTGATGCTGACTTCATTAGAGCCGGCGGGCAGTGCGGTGCCGCGTAACGCGTCCAACGAGGTGGGCCGGCCGCTCCCACCCCCGTCTCCTTCCATTGACTTGTTTCCTACCGCTTCCTCTCTCCCTCCTGGTCCCTCCCACCACCTGTCGCCCACTTGGCTCCTCCCGCTTCCTTTTCATCACCTCCCACACAACTCCACTCCAGCACTCTTGATCCCTCCCACCTCCTCCCGTTCCTCCCGTCCCCCCCCCCCCACCCCCGCCCCCACTCCGTTCCACCCCGTCCCACCTCTCCCACCCCGTCCTACCGCTTCCACTCCGTCCCACCTCTCCTATCCCGTCCCACCTCTCTCACCACTTCCCGCCGCTTCCCTCCGTCCCACCTCTCCCACTCCGCTCCAAATCCCCTTCTCCATCCCACCTCTCTCACCCCGTCCCACCGCTCTCACCCCGTCCCACCGCTCTCACCCCCTCCCACCACTCCCACCCCGTCCCACTGCCTCCACTCCATCCCACCGCTCCCACCCCGTCCCATCGCCTCCACTTTGGGGCGGCCGCGGGCTTACGATGACAGATGGCGGCCGTCGCCGGTCATTAGTTCCATCAGCGGCGCCGAGGAGCGGCCGCCGCGCCGCGCCCACTCTCAGCCACCCTCTGATGGCGCGCTGCGCGGCGCGCGCTCCTGCCGCGCCGCCACTAATTCCACCGAAACAATGGGCCCAGAGCCCGCTGCCGGGCCGACTTAGCGGACTGGCGCACCGGCGCCCGAGTGCACGCAAATGGCGGTGGTGGCTTGGTTTACAGGTGGCTGTGGCGGGGTTTTGCTGTGATTTACTGTTCCGTTTGCAGAGGACCAGTGGGACCCGCACGCTGTCCCTGGTGCTAATTAGGGATTTTTCAGTTCCGAACAGATGTATGTTTACTACGACATATCATTTAAGGATATGCTATCTCCTGCCGGACGTCCATCTGTAGTCCGGATATATATGAAAGAGCGGAAAATCGAATTTCTATGATTTTCAACACGAAACACCCAAGGTGGGCACCGACAGGTACATATGTTTCCCCTACAGTATTGATCTCCGCATTAATCAGGAAGCACACCAAGAGCCCCCTCCCCTCCCCTCCCTCGCTTCACAAACACTAGTGGAGCCCAGCATCAGCTTATAGCTGACGGATGAGGAGGAGCGCACCTCCCAGATATTTCGGGACTGATTTAAGATAAAGAGATAACTGAAAACGTAATTAGATGGCCAACGCAATTCCTAAAACAAACTTTTCCTGGGTCGCTTCTCAATAAGAGGTAAATATCAAGGTCATATTAAGTCATTTACATATTAGGTCTTAACAACCTTTATTCTGGTCTGTACGCAACAACCAATCTAGGGCGTTTTTCTGGGTCTATAATTAATCAGCAACTGAAGCATTTGGTAGGTGATTATAGTGCACTCAAACCATAGCCATGCATTGTTGGTATTTGACGTATGATGATCAGCTATTATGCTTGTTGCTTATCACTGTTAACATAGGTCATTGACCTATGATGAACTTCCACGACACAAGGCGAAGGCGTATGAGGAAGCGGGATTATCAGGTCTAAAGGCGAATGCATATAGATGCAAGGTGCTGGCGCACGGTGAATGTTTTTTTTTCTTTATTTTTCTTTTTTATATATGTTTCTATATATGTTGTTATGCATGTTTATATATGCGAATATGCATTTCCTCTGCGGGAAATTTCAAATCGGGACAATGGCCGGCGGATGCACGGCAATGAGGGAGATGGTTGACCCCCTTTACTTCATAGCTTTTTCAAAAAACTCCGTTTAAGCTCCTGATAGAAAACTAAAACTGAGCTGTTCCTCAGATTCAACAACGCGGTGAGATTCATCGCCGTCGAGGAGATAAATCTCAAAAGTCAAAGTTGCGATGCTCTTTGGTTTTCTTATCAGTTCCCCCACAGCTGTGATGCTCCTCCTCCCCTGCATTAAGACATCCTGGCTGCATCTTTGGTAGCTGTGTCAACCATACGGGGCAACCGTCATCCGCATGTAAAAGAACGACACAAGTCACAAGTCTGACAATAAACATCATCTACACTTACCGCTACTACAGAGCATGCCACTAAAACCGAGAGCATCAGTCAACTTGGGTCAGTGACTTATGATGGCACATACGATGGTTAAGATATGGTGTATTGCCAATACTAGAAAAAAGCAGACGCCAACCAGACATAGGTCCAACCGCTCCTTTATGCATTAGAACGTATGCCGCTTTCAGCAATGCTCGGGCCGACATGGACCAGCTTAAACCTGTCTAGATTGCTGATCTGATATGATCCGAACCCAAAGCTTGTAGTACCTTTGAGGTGGTGTGGGATAACGCGCTGAACTCATCGGGAGCATAACGTCAGCCGTCTTGTAGGTATTCCAAAAGTGTTTCTGGAGTGGGGTCGATACCTGCCCCCACCCCACCAGTGCAAGCAGTACGAATGAAAAAGACGAGCAATTGAAGTACCCACACCTGAGAGCTTGCGATCGTGACCTGTGGAGGCGGGACGGGCACAGCGTCCGTTTTCGTATTGTCAAGTCAGTTATTGACCTGTACTGCGATTGCAGCCGAATATTTTAGACAGTGTTGCCAGCATTTGGTGGCCAGACAGTTGTCACCACCCGCTGCACGTGTCCCCGCTGAGAGGCCGTCTCTGTCGCCGCAGTTGATCTTCCGGAAGGTGTCGGATGTCAAGCGGGAGAAGGAGCTGGCCGAGCGCCGGAAGAACGAGCCGCCACCCGACATCAGTCAGGACCACCTGGTCAGGAAGATCTTCTCCAGATTCAAAAAGTCCAGCGAGCGCACCAACAGCCAGTCGGGCCTCAGGTACGAGTCACCCCGCTCGAGGAAGCGGCGGACGCAAATATTCCACGATCTCCAGCAATTGGTCTCCGTAAAAATCCACAGCAACGCAGCATGAAATTGGAATGGAGTTCATGGCTATGGCAATGGCGGTTCCTGGCTTTCTTGTCGTGCTGTAGGTATTTTTAGGTTTTTTAGGTAGGTTTATTCTGGTCGTGCTGTAGTTCAATCGATGGTCACAAGAACCACAATAAATGTTTGATCGACGGCGACCTGTAATTGCAACCGTAACCCTACCTGAACTATCGGCGTTAATCTTGAATAAAGCCGTCCTGTCACTGAACAGTGTATCACGGCGAGCTGGCGACGTCCCGCACCTGCTTCGTCTATGACTGACGCGTCTGACACTGCCATCCGCCCCGCCCGTGCCAGTGCGGTCATCTCCACGCTCTTCCCTCGCCAGGGACGTGGAGGCCGGTGCCCGGAGCGAGGCCGAGCCGCTAGGTGGCGCTGCCGGCGACGCGACCATCGTGGTCAGCGTCGTGGGCGACTCAGCGGCGACGGCGTCGTCCGGCGGCGGCGGCGGCATCCTCACCTCGGTGAAGCTGCCCGGGGTCGGTGAGCAGCAGGCGGTTAGCAAGCGAGCGCGCACTCGCTGGGGCGCGCTGGGCGGCGGGTAGCGGCGGCAGTGGTGGCAGCAGCGGCGGCTGGTGGCGGCGGCAGCGGCAGCAGCAGCGGCGGCGGCGGCGGCTGCGGTGGCGGCGGCGGCGGCGGCGGCGGCGGCGGTGGCGCCGCCGCCGGCGGCGGCGGCAGTAGCGGTGGTGACGCTGGGAGCGAGGACAGGCGGGAGAAGCCCAAGATCAAGTGGGGCCCGAAGGTGACGGCGCCGGCGGCGGCTGAGCGGGCGGCGCCGGCGGCGACCGTTGGCGAGGAGCCGGCACGGCCTCCTGCGGAGGTCAGCAGGCGACTGGAAGTGGTGGACACGACCAAGCTGGCTGGGCTACCCAGCTTCTCGCAGAGTGAGTTCCAGCAGCTGCTGTCCAACCTGATGGACTTCAAGGTGGACCTGAAGCTGGAGATGCAGAAGCTGCACCAGCGCATCGGCCGGCTGGAGGGCTCGCTTGCGGACGTGTCGCGTCGCATACCTCCCACCCAGCGGCAGGCGGCCGACCTCAGCCCGCCGCTACTGCCATCTGGCGGTGCGGCAGTGAGCCGCGAGGCGGTCGCTTCCGACAGTGGCGCCGCCGAGCGGACCGACCGTGGCGCCTCTCAGCGGGTGTTTGTACAAAAGTCGCGGTCGCGCGATGCGGCAGCGCCCCCGAAGCGGGCGGCAGCCAAGCCCCGCAGCCGGTCGGCCGTGGCGCGAGCGAGCGAGCTCAGTCCGACCGACTCGATGGTGCAGCGCATGCTGGAGGAGGAGATTGGCCGCGGGGAGGACTCGGGCTCGCCGCGCCGCCGGCCGCTCTACGGCGACGACCGGCCCGGCTCTCCCGAGGAGTATTTGTAGTGGGCGCCGCGCGCTCCCCTCTCTCTCTCTCCCTCTCGCTCTATCTTCCCTGTCTCTCCAGCACACGGCACTTCACCTTCCCCTTCCTTTGTCACTCGTAGAGCCGTCAGCAGGCGGCGACGCAGGTCTCATGCGGCCTCACTAGGGCACTGTATATATTTTTATTCGGCTTCCCGTTTGCTCTCCTGCACGGTGTTGGCTGCTGCATTTATACTTAATTGGAATAGCAGTGGACATTGTAGGGAAAAATCATTGCTATGGTATCACGTTCAACCAGCTTATCTATTGCATGTGTAAATGATTTTATTATGAAGAGCGACAAAATGCTTATATCATGCAGGCTGCTCTCCTGTGGGCTAGTTTCCATGTCTACATTTTACACGTACGCTAGGAGGAAGCGAATGGCCGTGAACGCAGTGGGCAGCTTTTACAAATCGTGATATAATAACTTTCAGCACTATGGTTTTCTTTAGAATTCAACGTCATGCTGGATTGACTTCTTAGTTTGCCATCCTAGGGTACAGTCCCTGATTATCATAAGGTACGTCTGTCTTGAATATTTTTTTCACAAGCTGGCATACCAGCTTGCTTAAAACATGGTCAGGGTCAAGACGTGAACGTCTTTTAAAGCATGTTTGTCTAGCAGCGTCCGCGCCCGGTGTTGAGCATGACACGGCCACGGCGTTTTTACGAGACAGCCTGCCTCCGAACGGCACTTGAACGCTAAGCGGGGCAATTCGATTCAAAATACCGGCGAATCCCGTGTGTGTGGGGGGGGGGGCAAATCTGTCAACCTTGCACCAGAGAACATGAACATGAACGGTTCAGAAGAGTGGTGGCGGTGGTTACGGCTGGCCTGTTTGTCGCGGTCGGATGCTGCAGCGATGGACGTTAGCCCATGTGGTGCGATTGATGCAGGAAGGCGACCTATTTTACTGCATGCCCGATCTGCAGTTCGGCTGGGGTAAAAGCCGCGTGCGTGTCATCGACAACGAATCTCGGTGTTCTCGCGGCGTACTTATCCTCGACCGCTTCTCGTGGCGTTTGTCGGGCAGTACGAGCTGCTTCTGGAGGCTGCTCTGATCTCGCGCGGTTTAAGTGTTCCCCTTCAAGACTTGACGCCGAACAGTACAGTGTCCTGCAGCCAAGACGTACGGTCGGCGGGGTTCATCGTCGCCTTGAAAGTCCATTCTCTCAAATCGCATGTAGCCAAGCAATAACAATCTCAGATGCCGCGATGCGAGCCTGATCGCGACCGGAAAGCAACCCACCTGTTTACACCTGTTGCGATCGCACATCTGAGGCATTCACTGCATGAACGCTGATTGGTGGAGAGGTAGCAGCTGGTCCCAAACGGCATGTCTCATGCATGTCTTCAGTAACGTTTAACGTGGCCTTACATGTTTGCCAGTATTTTACTTCTAAACGGTCTTGACAACGGCGATCGTTCGGGCTAGGCGGAGATCTACGGACGGCGCGAGTCGCTGGGCGCCTGAAATGCCCGTCGTCTGTCATTGACTATTCAAAACATATCTGTGATTTAGACGTTAATGATGCGGTGTCTGGAGCATTTCTAGTGATGAAATGATGTTATGCCCTTTATGACGTGTTACCATGTAGTTTTGCTCGCATCTTGTCACTGTACATATTCATTACTTTGACCACAAGTTGAAATAATAGACTCTCGATGAGTAATGACCGCGCATTTTTCGCCCACAATGACGACCGGCGTCCGACCGGCCGACCTGCCGCGCGGAGCAGGAGCGCCATCTGCAGAGACACTACACTTGCTCACAGTCTGTCGCCACGGTCACTCACCAGTGGCTGTCGCAGGGACGCAACTTTTCAACCCGCCAACCCGGCAATATCGGATCCGCGAGAACCCTCGGGTCAAACATTTGGCCTAGCGAAATTATTTGTTTCTGTTATTGCTGGCATTTAAAGCGATCCAAGTACCACGGTGAGTTGCCAAAAGCAATACAATTATGAACAGTCGTTACGTTAAGGGAATGTAGCCGACGTATCAACACATCCGTCTTTCTTTTTCTCGGTTGGTCTACGGGGAATAACGTTAGGAGTTCTGTCTATATGCGAAGTGTTCCTCGCAAATGCACTTAACGAATTGCGCAACTATGAACAAATCAAATTTTTGTCTTTCCGACAAAAGGGACTAGACTGACAAGACTAGAGGCAGAACCTCGTGGCAGGTATGATACACCGGTAGACTAGGTCCCACAAATTGAACGACTTAAAGTTAGTATGTAACGAAGACAAAATCAAGACAAACAATCAAAGTTTCCAAAGTTTAGCCAAAGTTCCCATTGAGCAGTAGTTAGGTGAGTCACCAATATAAGCATGACCACATACTACTTTTTTGTTTCTTACACGAAGTATGTGTAATAACTCAACATCGATGATTGATGGAATGAACGATAAAACGCGTACCTTTCATTGCCTCATCTCGTCGGCTTGTCTTACAGCCCACTTGCAGGGATAAAATAGCTTCGGATTTATCGGATATGCTTGGTGATAAAACGGCCAATTTCGCGAGTTAGCGACAAAACTGCGAAAATGGAAACAAATTACAACAGATTAGATCATGTCACAAGAGGCCACCGCAGTGAGACGAAAGTCAAAACTTACTATTGGTCTATACTCGCAGACGCTTGCAGCGTGAGCTTGTGTAGAGCGCTTATCGAAACGCTGACGTTGCGCTATATAAGCACGTTCAGCCACAAGATGTTGCAAAACGTAGTAGCTTTAATCATGATAGCTCTTAGCAGGTGACAGAAATATACTACAAACCCTACTTTATTAGTGCTTACGCCACAGATTAGTGGTGACAAAGTGCTTTTTCAATGTCCATCAGATCAGTGCATTTCACAGATTTTTCTGCCAAGATTTACTTCACAGACTAAGCAGCATAAAATATCATACAATTAGATTGTTTCTTTTTTTTAAAATCGTGGTTTGCCACAGCATATTGCGACGACAGTGATCAGCTTGCTGCGCGGCGTGCGATTTGATACAGACGGGCCCGAATGCTTGCCACGCGGTAATGAATTGGGTTCAGTGCAAGCCTGTGGACTGACGCTGGTTGTGCTTACGTCGTAAGAAGCTGATTGGCTTGAATGATGTAGCCAATCGTCAGTTTTTTAAGGCGCTGTGCGGTTTTTCTATGGAGGATGTCCCAAGGAAAAGTGTTAAAAAGCCCAGCCGGTCTAGGAGGCGGGTTGCTTAAGGATACCCGAACAGTAGCTTCATAGGTCAACGAAGGACGTTGGAACGACGAATGTCAAGGATTCATCCGGGGCTTCGTGCTGCTGAGAGGAACAACGGCTTTGAGGTAAGAGGCTGAGCATCGCTGGCGTAGACCTTTAGCCCCACCCGTTGCACCTCACATTTAACGTTCTGGCCCGTAGACAGACGTGAGAGCAAACATTTTTTGTATTTTCTTCTATTGTATATAAAAATAAAGGAAGGTCCTAGAGGTGATCAAAACCGTCGTTTGCATCTGTTGATGCTAAAATAGCACGGGTTTTGCACTAATTAATTGGGATTATGTCAAGAAGACCGAGGTCTGCACCGGTAATGCCAATGAGCTTGCGAAAATAGCGAAGGTCACTGACGCTTCCAGCTGCGTGTGCGATGACGTCATAAAACCGAAAGGATATTGTTTTCGGGTGCTTCTTAAAGAATTTTATCGGTAAATGTAGGGCTACAGAGATGCACTTTCGCAAAATACGCAAGGGTGAGGGTGGGGTGCAGGAAAAACATGGCTGAGCCTGCCTCCGAAATGCACTTACAAATGTTATCTCTCAGGTTTGAGGAGCTTTCCTTTCAGTGTTAGGAGCGAGGGCGTAGTTCGTCAAAATTAGTTTCGGGGCTGAACTCTAGCAAAGGATGATAAATAAAAAATGGTGATTAAGAAAAAACAAATAAAAACAGAAAACTACATCCCTGGCCAGGAGGCCGAACCCGTCCCCCCCCCCTCCCCCACCGCCTCTAACTGAATAGGTTATTACACGCCTGTAGGCTGCTTATGTTAGGAGAACCTTTGCTTGATAAATCTATTAGCTTAGTCTCAACCATCAGTCCGTGTTTCATAGTCAGAAATGACATTTGGGTGCAGATGAGTGTCCGAAGCGAAAACGTTTGATGGCTATGCCGCATTTCATGCCCTTTGTCTTTGCTTTTGTAGTTTATCGCATTTGAAGTTAAATGGCAAGGGTCTCTGATAGATTTGGCCCCGGGTAGCAATCTAGACGGTTCCAAATTTCGTCGGTGACTGAAAAGGCACTTCGTTCACCGGTGCTCACTTGCCTTGCCTCGCTTGCCTGGCAACGCAGGCTGTCCTTATAGGTGCATTCTATGCGGCTCTGAGTTCGTTTATTGGGGATAATCGACCTTCAATACGTGTACTGGGACATGCTGTCTAAACAACGCTATAAAAAACACAAAAAAAACATTAAAGGGTGGCGAGCAGTATTCTTTGCGAGATATCTGGATCCTTCAATGCTGACTTGGCCCGCAATGCTGAGTTGGACCCCAATGTTTTTTGGCCGGAATGTTTTCAAATTCTTGACGATATTAAATATGCCAAAAAGCTCACCTTTTGGAATCATTTGATGTCCATAGTATGCTGAGGAACGCATTGGTATCACTGAAAAGAACTTTTTGGTTACTAAAAAACTTAAAACGTAAATTTCTCTTCGCCCAAATAATCTGACAAAGCCTGATGCAAACACATTTCAGGGGAGATTAGGCTCATCCCGCAATCGTTGACGGTAAGCAACGGCCCGCAGCCATCTGCATCGATCTACTAACTAAAATCTACTAACTGTCTGCAATACACAGCATTATGTTTTTGGGTGTCGTGTGGTGTCTTGTCGGCTGCCAAATCATCAATGGTGTCATTGTGGCCGTTGCACTCGGATTGGCTGAATTTCGCATGGCAAGAATGGCCCCCATCTCCTAGGTGTTCGGCATGAAGAGCTTGGGGATGCCCTGCTGACAGGAATCGAGTTCCAATATATCTAGTGATAGTAACTAAACGACATGGACTGTGAAACAAGTGTTTCAATCTGTATGCGCTTCCACTTGGGGGCCATGTGCAAAGCTCGAAATGTCGATTTTTAACAACATTACCGATGTTGGTTTGACAAGTCGCTTGATTAGTACTTCCTGGTTTACTGAAGGCTGGTTCTTGTCAGCTTAGGGACTAAAATCTCTGAATTTGGACATGATTTGCCACCATGTTAAATGATCTGAGGGTATCCCTAATTAAAAATAAAAGCTGTAGGCAATCGTAGTTTCACACGTGTGTTAAAAAAGACCAATACGTCGATCAAATCAAAAGCCGCCACATCATCCAGTAACTTTTTGAATATCAGTCTGGCAACAATTTGGCAACACTAGGACACCCATTAAATGGAATGTTTCACTCTCGGAGGTATTGAAGCTAGCATGAAATATGATGAAACAAGTTCACTTATGGCTATTGGTATATTTTTTAATTGGAAAAGCCTGCCCTAACCGGCAATATTCTTCGTTTAGTAAATGTGCTCTTCAATGCGTCATATTTTGGCTACGTCATCGTGCCTTGCACAACACTGATTGGGAGCCAATTGACGGTTGTTATTATTTGGAAATAACGCTCACGAACGCCAGATATAAGCGCCTTGACAATCATATTTGTCTTGGCCTTGATCGTCCAATGTGTTGTGGACTAGCAGGATTTAAAAGACGTTATTACGTCATAAATGCCGAGATGACTTTGAAATGCTCCCCCTCCCTCCCCCGATATACCTTTTCTCATTTTCGCGGGCGTTAGCTAAAAAACCAGAAAGTTTGAGTCTTCAGAAGGACAGCATTGTGAACAGCACCGAAAGGAGGTTATTTTAGTTCATAGCCCCACACCGATGTGGAACACTTTTTTACCGTCATGGCCGGCCGGCCGCACCGACGAAGCGCTGACACCCACCGCTTGGCAGAGCTACCGCCAAATGAAGCCATGCGCTCGCGGGGCCGGGCGAACCGCGGGTGTTCTGCTGAGGAAAGGGTCTGGCATTGAATGAATCAATCGATCAGATCCTATGGAATGAAGCAATCGATCAGAT